TCAGACATGCAGGTTTCCTCACGATGTTTTCCTTCACCGCCGAGCACGTGGTAAATCAGCACTTAAAATTGCAATTAACAATTTCATTGGTGCCGGCGGGGATCGAACCCGGGTTACTCGCGTTCTGTTATATTTACAGCGAGCGTTAACCACTGAGCTACCACGGCTCATCAGTTATAAGTAATACTAACAAAATATGAGCCTTGGTTGCTTAAATAAATGAAATTCTTCTTATTCTTCTTCTCATTTAGTGTATGCTAAGGAGACTGGAAGCAGTTCGAGGAGCTAGCAGGGGCCACACAAAGTACTGATTATAGCCCATGTTAAAGCTTTTATGAAAAAAGAATAAAATTTATAAGTACAAAAATGTCTTTCCCTGTAAAATTTTCTTCTAATTTGGTTAATTTTTGGCATTTTTATAGTTTGTTTTTGCAACTTTAAATGAATAAATAATAAGTTTTATTCCTAATTCGACTGTTTTTTTTTGTGTTATACCTCAGAACTTTTATTTAGGTGAATTGATTTTGATGATTCTTCTTTTATTTAAAAGATGGTCCTTATCATGTGATCTCATATAAATTTGATCAAGATCTGACGAGCAGTTTTTATATTATCCTTTATAGTGCTTATTCAATTGATTTCGACTATTTTATTTATATTGAAGTAGGTTGTACAAAATTTTAATTTAACCACTTGCGTTTTATACACTTTTTTTGCTCTTAAAATTATTCATGAGTATATACGGCCGGTTCATTGTCACTTCAGCTTATTGATTTGTTGGGCTATATCAATCACGCTTGTTCTATCAACGTTACAGATGCGGATAGAATCTCCGAGCATAACTCTTTTCATAGCTCGTTTAGCGATTTTTCTTGTGGTATTGTTTTTTTTTTCTTGGTTTTGAGGAATATTTTTATGGATTAATGGTGACAACCCAGCACATATAAAACTAATGATAAGTAGATACTAAGGCCAATAGACATCCAAATCTATCCTTAATGAGGAATAAAATAAAGAATAGAATGCCTCTTTTCCAGTGAAAACGGAATACGTCATCAGAAGATGTTTTTAGATTAGACTGACATACCAGAAGATAAGCATAACGGTAAGGTCTTCCAGCGCTTTAGCTATAATTACTATATCGTCAGCAAATCGAAGGCGAGTGATGTATTCGCCATAATTAATTTCTAGACCCGTAGCTTAAAAACGTCTTCCAATGCAGCGGTGAAGGTTTTCGGCGAAATAACTTCACCATTTCCTACACCTCTCTGCTGGTCTGGTCGACGGCGATCAGATGATCGGCCGGACGACGGACGGTAGAGGGACACCTGCCCTCAGATCCCGAGTTATGCACTTAGATATCATTATTTATAATTATTTAAATATTTTAAATAATTTATAATAAAATAAAGTTGTTTGAATGAATTACGAATGACTGAACTAACCACAAAATTAGTACTGCGCCTGCGTCTTTTTTCTGAGCAACGAGTAGAATAAGGTACTTGTAGTATGTAATAATAGTAGTGAAGTAAATACGAATGTTATAATGGAGGTCATTTACATAATTTGTATCTATGTTTTATGTCATAAAAATGACATCTAATAATCATTTATATGGAAAATAAATGCAAACTTGAATTTCCCCACTGTCTTAACCGGGTGATAGTTTACATGGAAGGGAATAAGGGGTCGAATCCGAGATGTTTAAGGTGATTGTTTTGACTGTAAAAACATCTCGATTGTTCTCGATGTTTGTCGGTATGTTTGTAAGCGAGTCCAAAAAATATAAACAATCGAAAACTACTAATAGTGCTAATCATTAGTAAAATATTAGCACTATTAGTATTTTTCTTACTCTACCAATTATGAATACGTCCGGAGAAAGAATTTCTTCAAAGTTAAAACTGAATTATAATTTTTAAGGTCAATTCTGCATCATATAAAATATTAATTATGATAAATATTATATAATCAAATTAATTAATTTTATTTAAATTTACTTAATTTCGATAGAATCAGAATAATTAAGATAGTTTCAATTATTAAACAAATAATAAGTGATTTCTCAAGTCCAGTTTTTTCAAGTAAAGCAATTTCAATTTTTGTAAGTATATGCATGTACCTACGTATAACTTTTATATAGTAGTCTAAAAATAGAGAAAATAAAACGTAATAAATACATTTTGTTTTTCAAATCCTATGTTATACTTACCTACACTTCTACTTTAAATCGAAGTCCTATATAGACATATTTAGGATTTTGAGTTAAAGTAGAAGTGATATAAGTGAGAAGATATATATTTATCCTAATCAGGGAAAAAAGTAAAGAAGGCCAGCGGCACGGCAGCTCAACGTAAAGCATGGTTTATGTCGCCTCTACACGTTGGCCAACACAGTGGCGAATGGAGTGGCGAATATATTGGCCGAGAGTTGGTGACGGCGTCCACACGTTGGAAGGTCGTTGAGTTTACTTCGGTTCGGGCCAATGTGCGGACGAATTTAGAAGCACCGTGGCGCAGTGGCTCAGCAATGAGTGGCTGCGCAGGGAGCCGCGGGTTTGATCCCGCACGGAACAAGTATTTGTATGTCCTACAAATAATTGTTTCGGGTCTGGATGTGTGTCCTTGTGCAATTTATGTTTGTAAACTGCCTCCGCGATACGGGATAAAATCCTAGTGTGGGGTTAACGTTTTTATAAAAGAATTATAAAATAATAGTGGATATTAATAGGGCTGTAAATAGATATACGATATACGATTAGCTTTATTTATTCTTTACATGCATCATAAACTGAAATAAATGCCATTAATAAGAACTTAACTTATTTTAAAGTTAAAAGAGTTATAATCGATTAGTCTATGTTTTAAAATTGGGTTTTGTTTTTAAAGTTTAGCAAAACATGTACTTGCTTTTCTATCAGACATTTGATGTATATAAAAAACACCTTATAATTTATTTGGTAATTTAATTATTTTTTGAGAGAGACAAAAACAATAGCAATAAATATAATTAACACTGACTTAATAATAGGTACTAATTATAACTTAGAACATAAATGAAAAACTCATGACAAGGAAAGTGGCTCAGGACCATGCTTTGCGGCATTCTTTGGAGGAGGATGTTCAGTAGTGGACTTGTGAAGAGCTGTAATGATGATGATGATTCGAAAACTTGCACGATTATTTTATAAGAAATCGACGCTTTTTTATATGGGATAGGGTGACAAACGAGCACACAGTGCACCTGATGGTAAGTGGTTGCTGTGGCCCACAGACATCTACATCTATCCTCGATTACGAATCAAACTGCAGATAAAAAGTGTCTCTGGTTCTCTACACTCACTATACGAAACACAGCATCATTAAGCTACTATTTTACATTGATATTCTGTGAGAGCGTGGTCCTTCCCTGGTCGAACCGACCCATTCGTGCTACAACTATACTTCTAATATAATTACATGGTTCTACCACGTATAAACGACGTACTTCATTCTTTTTTCATTTTAAAATTGTTCTCGTAATAATCTGATTGTAAATAAATGTTCATTATTTTTTTTTATAAATAGCTTATCGATTAAAACAAATGTTTAAAAATAATTAAATCGCACTAATTAAAGTAGTAGGAATGTTTAAAGTTGAAATTGGCACTAAAAGGCTGGTAATTGGGTCATCCACCCTACAAAGCGTGAATATAAAATTTTAATCAGATGCGTGTAATCACTCTGGGAGCTTGTAGAAAACTAAACTCGCGGCCAACGTGTGGACGCGGCGACCAAACTCTGCCAACAATCCTTTGATCTTTTGTAAAAAACCGACACCACACGGATCTCGCGCCAACTTGCGGGCCAACGTTCCAATACATACCAATGAAGCCCAAACACCCCGTCTACACGTTGGCCAATTAAAAAAACTCTAAGTTCTTATTAATGGTATTTATTCCAGTTTATGAAGCATGTAAAGAATAAATAAAGCTAATTGTATAATATCGTGTATCTATTTACAGCCCCATTAATAACCACTATTATTTTATAATTCTTTTATAAAAACGTTAACCCCACACTAGGATTTTCTCCCGTATCGCGCAGGCAGTTTACAAACATAAATTGCACAAGGACACACATCCAGACCCGAAACAATTATTTGTAGGATATACAAATACTTGTTCCGTGCGGGATCAAACCCGCGGCGCACGACGCAGCCACTCATTGCTGAGCCACTGCGCCACGGTGCTTATAAATTCGTCCGCACATTGGCCCGAACCGAAGTAAACTGAACGACCTTCCAACGTGTGGACGCCGTCACCAACTCTCGGCCATTATGTGAGCCACTCCATTCGCCACTGTGTTGGCCAACGTGTAGAGGCGACATTAGACGAAGCCAGTGTTGGCTGCCAGTTTGAATGACAGCCAGCGCTGGCTTGTTATCGGCCTAGTATAAACAGTTTTTTAAAGAAGCCAGCGCTGGCTGCCAGCACTAGCGGGAATAGAGCGCCTGCCTATTTTTCAAGCCAGTGACCTCCGCCCGCATGCTTCGCAACCCCCGCGCCAGTATAAATAATTTGTAATATAAAAATTTAACTAGTAATATTGTACACATTCCTTCCTATATTTGATGTATGTATATGATAAACATTATTTTTCAGTTAAAGTTTAAATAATCATTAATTTAATACAACGATTTGCAAGAATAATCTAGGAATGAGATTAATCCATTTGTCCTCATCTAAACAACACGGACCAGGCCAGCGCTGGCTTCTCTGAGAACTGGTTCCAGTGTTACTGGCTTCGTATAAACCTTGCTTAACGTAAGTATTTTGATTCTTAGTAGTATTCAAGACCACGACATTTATTTTTAGGTTTAATAGATTAGTATCAAACGAAACACTTCAGTGAACGGGCGTATTATTTATGTCCGCTGTTATGTGTTACGAGTACGGTGATAATTTTGAAACATAAAACAAAAAGTAAAGAAACCTTTAAAATCATACTCGATAGTAGGAGATGACAATAATTCAAAAGGTTTGTTTTTTCCGTTAAAAGCCTACTTGAAACTATTATTTACATCCTACTCGACATAAGATGTAAGAAAGTTTTTTCGTTGTTCGTTTAAACGTCAAAACGCATAGATGAATGATTGGTCTCGCTGCGCTCGACCAGCGAGACCAATCATTCATCTATGGTCAAAACGATTATTTTATATACTTTTTAATTTATATATTTTTATGTTATATGTTTAGAATAATTAAGCTTATGTAGTATAACTTATATCCTTAAATTACGAACAACTTTAAAAGTAAAAACCGTAAATAAAATGGACACAAAAAGATAAAACACAAATAAAACGAAGTCAACATTAAGTTCCATAAATTAATAATGGGTTCCTTTATACCTATATTATGAACCTGTTTATATAGTGGAATAAATAGAAGTATACTGCCCTGATACGGAAGAAGGCGGCTAAGCCACAACAGTAAGTTTCGAGAAAAATTGAAAAAAGCGCGAAATTGGTTTTCTTGATAGATATCACCGAAAAAAATATTTCAACTATTGTAATCCATGTAAAAAAAATTACGAATCTTTCATAAATATTTTTGAATGAAATTATTGGCATACTGTTCTGTAAACTATAAAAATGTAGTTAACGTAAGTATTGAAACATTATATTTGAATATTAATTACATTATAAAAGGCCGTTAAGTATACCTTAACTGCTTTTTAGTATAGCAGTTACAATAATCATACGCAAAAATGCGGCTAACCTACCTTAACTTTCTTTTGATTTTTGACGCTTTGTTTAAATTACACACTTGGACTACACTTTATTGCTGTTAAGTGATATGACTGCCTTATAGTATAGTTTATTAGCAAATAATCAAATTAAATAGAAGTTCAACTAAACTAAAAGGTAGTTAAATGTACATTAATCTCACGGAACCGCTTTTTTGATTAGTATTAGCATAGCTATATTTTTGTTATGTAAGTTTGAAAAGTTGCAAGTGTAAAATAAAATGTGCTTTAGTTTAAAGAATATCAAAACCTTTGTCATGCTTAGCACAAACAATTATAAGGAAAAACAAGGGATTGTTTATTAATCTTAAATAACCTGTTTTTTGTTTTGAAATGTGATTTTCTGCTCTACTAAGCCGTTTTCAATTATAATTCTTTCCTGTGCTAAATCTGATCTGACGAATCTGATTTATTTACTGATTTTTTTATCATGGAAATTGGTAGGTGGCATGAAGTATGATATCGACTGATTGTCGTCTTCTTCGGAATCAGAACTGTTTTGCGGCATCTCCACTGACGGTACATAGTCCATTCTTTTACAGAATCATCGGAGTCAAAATCTTCCCCCGCTTTATTATTAATAATGGCGCTGTTCTACAGATACTGGAAGACGTATTGTAGATGGCAAGGAGTAACTAATTTTACAGACATACTTATAGACAGGCGTAGACTTCTTTGAATTTGGAGCTATTCGGCGGCATGTTTACTAAATTCAAAGTTTCACCGGAGTTAAAATCTTTATCGGTTAATTCAATGTAACGATACTCTTTGACATATTTGGTGTTATTCTGGGACATATTCATCGGTGGCACACAGTTTTTATCTATAGCGATCAATTCTTAAAAAAAAAATTTATTTTTTAAGACTTTTTTCTGGATTTTCAGACTTTTGGTCCATAAAAGTGTTAATACAACAGAATAAAAACAACACTAAAACATTAATTCAAATATTTTCCGGGCTAGTTTGCGGCACTTGGTATACACGGTACATTTCTTCATAATAAAAAATATTCAAAGCGTTTTATTCGTTTTCAGTTAGGTGAATATTCATTGTGTATGAAGTTTGAACATCCCGCTTAACTTTTGGAATTGATAAAATTTTGTAAATTGATTCAGAATCACTTATGAGATCTATAGAGTATGATCAAGACCAAAGTGAATCAATTATTAAGGAACGGGGAGCCAGTCGTGTCCAATGTGCCCACTGATTAAGTTTAAATGGTTTACAGTCTTCTGCTGTCTCTTCTCTCGCCACGTTCACTAACTTCTTGCCTTTGATAAGTCAAGGTATTATTCAAGGTGTAAAATAAAAAAAATATAAATACTCAAGTAATGTAAGAAGGGTTTAATATTAAATTAGGAAAATATTAGTTTATGAATTTGGTGTAATAGTAATCCAAATCCACTTATGCACAACGAAAACTATTGTCAGACCTTTTTGCTTGGCACCCGAGCAGCGGTAGTAGTAGTGCACGCTACCTCAAAATTGAATTGAACACTCCTTGGCCGTAGAGTATTTTAAAATTATTTTGTTATGAATATAACGCTCTTTTTTACATATTACAGATGATTTTGAATAAAATGTGCTATTATTGACTACTTTTTGAGTACTAACTAAATCAGGGTTTTAAGATATAAAAATAGTTAAAATTTTAATTTTTATTTAGGTCAAGTACTAAGCTGTTTAAAACTAGTTTTTACGGATTTTATCGCGTATATTAACATTTTTAAATTCCCGACGTTTCGAGCACTTTACAGCACCCATGGTCACGGGGGGACTAAGATGTTCGACGTCCCGATGTTATAGTTAACCACCAGATTAAAATCATTAATTTTTGTTCCGATCTACGCAGTATGAACTTATAATATCTTGAAATCTTGCAGTTGTATATTTGGATTGGGATTTAATTTCATTAATTATAGGATCCCAAGCAGATGGTAGTGCCCATATTTTCTAACATCTCAACCCCGCGTTAAAGAACATATAGCTGAAGCTCCGGGAAGTCTGCAGTTTGTGAACACGTACAGGATCGCCCCGTCACTACATCAGATTTAATAGAACACAAATTCTCGCTAAAGCACACAGATTTCTTCATAGATGATTCGCGAGGCTATTGAAATCAAAAAACATCCTAATTTCAATAGAGCAGATGGATTGCGCGGCTACCGTCTACTTAGGATCCTGTAATTATAAAAATAAATCTCAACCCAAGCATACAACTGCAAGACTTCAAGATACTATAAGTTCATACTGTGTAGACCGGAACAAAAATTAATAATTTTAATCTGTAAATAACCCCGGGTAACTATTACATCGGGACGTCGAAGACGTCAGTCCCTCCCGTGACCATGCTGTAAAGTGCTCGAAACGTCGGAAATTAAAAAAGTTAATATACGCGATAAAATCCGTAAAAACTAGTTTTATTTAAAAAAAATCTGTAGTAAATTCTATTAAATTTCTTCCTCGCAATTTAATTGCAAGTAAGTCAGCTCAAATTCTAATTTCATCCCCACTTGCCCGCGCGTCGTATGCTAAGAGACCGTGCGGCAGGAATCACGCTTCAAAAGGCCGATAGTTTAGGTAATTTCTTTTTACAGTGAAAATAATGGTATTTAAAAAAAGTAAATAACATAAGCACTGCTTTATAGTTAGTTCAGTTTGTATGCAAAGTTTCATGATCCTATTTAAAGTATTTTATGAATAACAGCGGTTTATTGTTTATTTTGGAGGTAACTTTAGTTTTTTTTTTTCTATCGAGAAAATTTTACGAAATCGTGTTTTCGTCTAACATAATTCTTAACATTAATCCTCAACTTAACCATATATTTATTTCAAAATTAATGCTGCAATATTTTCGGCATAACGAAGGATCTTGCTAAACCATTTGAGATTATATTTCCCCTTAAAGTCCTTTTCATCAGAAAAGACACATTTTTTCGGAGAACGATTATACAGTTTTCTAAATAAAAACCCAAACCAAAGAATATATCTCTGACGCACTCGGACAAGAACTCTAATCATACTTTTTTAACTCTTAAAACTTGCTGATCTAATTCTTCACGTACACATCGCTAAACGCTAACATATTGCTAAACTTACATTTAGACGCTTTTTAGAGTAGCACATTCACTTTGCCGCTGTTTAAATATTGTTCATATAACTAAATGTTCATCAAACACAAAAAAGCAGTGAATGCTTTTTTGGGAAGTAAGTGATTTTAATATATTTTTTAAATTCTACGCTTGAACGTGTTAAGTGTTTTTAGCCGTGTTTTAGTGTCTACTACAAGGGTTTACCGCTTTTTAGCATAATATTAGGTATAGCCTAGCATGACTGCAACTAAGTAATAAAGCAGTTATTTACGGTTAACTGCCTCTTAGCCTAGAAAATGTGTTTAACTGCATTTTTTCTTAGTTTTACGACATCAAATATTAAATTTCAACTAAGAAAATAAATCGTTCAAATCTCTTAACGACTATATAGCGTAACGGTGCATCGTAACTGATTTCTAGCGTATGACAGCAAAGAAAATTTTGCACTTAACCGCCAAAATGCTTAATGTATCTCAGGAACTATCAATCGTAAAAATATAATTCCAATATTGATCGATAGAGAATTTTTTGCTTAGTCTAGTGGTACTGAAAGCTCAAAATCGACAAAATGCACTTAGCCGCCTTTTTCCGTATCAGGGCAGTATATATATATATATATATATATATATATATATATATATATATATATATATGTGTGTGTGTGTGTGTGTGTGTATGTGTGTGTGTGCGAAATTTATAAAAGTAATATATACATATTAATATATAAAACACAGATTTAATATACAAAACCATAAATTGCCTCCTATGATAGATACTTGTCACAATTGTTAGCAAAATAAAACTTTTGTTACTTAATAAGAATATTAAATCAAGCATTTTAATCTTAAATTTAAATACTTATTTAATTCTAATTTCAGATGAAATGTATCGTTTTACTACTGACCGTGCTTGTTAATGTGGTAGATATAAGTGAAGCTGAAAGTCACTCTTCAGTTTATGTTAAACACAAACCTCACTTTAATTTACAAGAGATACAAAACACAGCGCAACTGAGATCACCCCGTCAATGGATGGCGACAAATTATGACCAAACGAACCCCTCACACCAGCATCATGGACATTATTACAACAATCCACAAGAAGCTCTTTTGACAGAGATTGTCAGTTTATTACAAGATATTAAGTTAAGTTTGGCATCGCAAAAACAACATTCACCCTGTCAACCCATCTACGTTCCTTATCCTTATCCCGTGCCGTACTCAGTCCCGCAATATATTCATTCCTATGATGATAGTACTTTCAGAAAAATCGACGCTACAAAAAACTCTTCAATAGTTGTACACAATGATAGCAGAGTCGATGATAACGACGGCAATGATTTTACTAAGTCAAATTTATCACATTCTGGTACGGAAGTTCTTTCTTCATCGAATAAAAGCAACCATAGCGAAGATGAAAATATTATTGTGAGTATTTAATCATTAAATAACATAAGTATAATTGGTATAATAATAATATATGTAAGGTTTTACCTGATGCAAACGAGCAGAGTTTTCCTGATGGTAAGCGGGTGCTGTGATCTACAGAAATGTGTGTATATTTCCTCGAAATAATCAATATACGCATTCTGGTTATGTATATTTATATGTTAACTAGCTTTTCGCCTCGCGGTTTTATCGCCGTCTAAGTATGAGATCGCATAATATGGAGATTTTAAGTTAGACAGATCCTTCGAATATTGCAAACCGCGCTAACAATCTTTCTCTTCTCATACAAAACAGAAAATTCCAACTACCAAATTTTACCACTCCACCACCTTTTAACGATCCACTTTTTAAACAGAGGCAGATGTAGTAAAGTTCTAAAAGATTTAGTATCCATAATTGTCATAATTTTGTTTTAAGGGTTTTCCCACCACCTTGTAAGTTAAAAAACCATAACAAAGTAAGTAAGAATTTTAAAAAATTTTAAAATACGTATTTCATTATTTTAAGATTATTATAATATCAAATAATATATAAATGAAAAAAACCCTGGGAATGAGGTGATCGCCACCATGTTGGTTCTATTAAAACTCATTTAAGATTTGTACAAACAAAATTATTGTAAAATGAAATATGTTTAAGAAAACTCCCGTTGGATTTCTCGCTGGTTCTTCCCAGGACAGAGGTATTTTACGAACCAGTGGTAATTAAAAAACAACTTTCAATAAGTATTATGTGTAGAATAAATCTGTAACGAATAAAATCTTATTCTATTCTACTTTATTCTTAATCCAAGAGTAATTGTACTAATTTTCAAGTTACAATAATTCCTCTCATGAATTAAATAATAATAATGGCGGTCAGCCTCAACGGAGTGAGGATTATAGTGGCAGAGTGTATGCGCAAGCAAAGATGCACTTTCTATTTCCTTACTGATATTCCGATGGGACGGTAATCCTATACGATCGGAAAAAGATCAGGCACAGGACCAATGGCATTACATGCTCCCTAGCACTCAGGGTGACACCGTCAACTTCCAGACTTCAGCCTGCGATTATTATTTCTTGTCAGAAAAACCAAGAACTGATTTTACGAACGACCCCGAATTCGAACCAGCGACCTCTAGATTATCACCCCTATACCAAAAAGGCAGTCAAGTCTCTCATATATTAACTATTTTTCGTAGAGGAACGGCGTCAAAGCTCTTCTTGCTTTACATAGCCAGCCTATTGCCATTGATCTTGACATTATTGCGGCACATGTGACCGGATATGAAGGAGCTTTTATTCAGTTTTAAGAATATGCTTATACTGTAGGCATTACCAATATTCATGGAGGGGGCACTAATATAAGGTATGGGCTATACGGGAATCCCCCTATGAGGCTATATAATATACGGCAAGGGTTCTATTATCAGCAGCGGACTCTTAATGAATTATGAAAAAGGGTGACAAAAAGCACACATAGACACCTAAATTTATGCTTAATTAGGAATAAAAATGCAAATGCGATATTACCCCTTTTTTTTTTTTTTTGCATGGGGGAAATGCCTACGCATACCCGCCTCGCGGGGGCAAGGACGGGTTATGTCGGACTCGCACCGACTAAAACCCCATGGTGTTCCACCTTTGTCGCATATTGGCAGGGCTACGGGAACGCTTTCGCACACATCCGCGGCCCTACTAGCGCCTGCCGCCCCATGGCAGCACCTCCTCGGGAGAGGAAAATTCCTCCCCGTTCTCCTTCCCAGGTAAGGCGCACCAGAACACATGGCGCGCCTTCCTCCACGGCCTCCAACTACGTCTGTGCAACAGACGCCCCCGCGTCCGATGCACAAAGGCCATGGGGCCAGGAAAAACGAGCACTTAGAAGTACTAGCCTTCCCGACCCCAGCGGCGGATCTGGTCTATGGCTCCGCCGCCAACCAAGATTCGGCTGCGGAGGGTAGGGAGAGCGGCGCCTCGCAATACCGACAATCCTCTCCCCCCGCAGCCCCACCACCACCGCATCAACGGTGCGGCCCCGTTTGAGTCGCGAAGGATAGGGCGAGTGGCGCATCGCCATACCAACACTCCTCTTCCTCCGCGACTCCACCTCGGCTGCAGCGGTAGAGGGTGCGCGAGTCCCCACTCACTGCAGTCCACCAGCACACATCCAAAGTGGGCTCCCCAAGCCCACTCGGAGCGGCCACCTCAGGCCGGCCCTTCACCTCGGGCCAGCCACGTGGGTTCCTCTTTGTTCACCGTGGGAGACCAAGCCACGGCTACTAAGCCCCCCCGCCACGACAAGGCGGGAACCCGTTCGGGGGGGGCGATATTACCCCTGAGGTCTAATTTGGAATCGTTATCAGTAAAAAGGGTCTTCGATTATCGCCATTCACCATTCAAAACACAACAGCATTTGCTGTTATGTCTACGCGAACTGGTTGTTCATTGACAAAGATGTGTGCTTTAATATTTACAGAAATATTTAAAAGTTTGTCATGGTAAAAATTGTACCAACGGAGTACAATTTTAATCTTGTGACAAATTAATTTCTAAGTCTTCTGTTCTCCAAAAAACCTCCTGTATTATATAAACTTTAAAGCTATGTTACAAAATTGAATTTTAAGATCATAAATATAAAGTTGGAAATAGGACCGCTGGAATTCTACTGACACAGAGACCACTAGTAAAAAACTTGTTTATTAAAAGCCTGTTTTAATATTGTTTACAACCCAGAAAACGTTTACACCAAAATGACTGACAGTAATGAGAATCTTACAAGTATTTTGGTCTGACCTATGTAATATCATCAAATAAATATATCTCTGCACCTCTTGTTTGTCTCTACAATAGTTCATGGACTACACGATTATTAATCAACGTACAACGATGATAAGGTGAGAATTCTTGTACGTCGATTTTATGCTGAATGTTAGTAAACGCATAAATGATCTTTATTAAAATGAATACAGTTATGTTACTGTTATGACAACAGTAATACACTGAATAACTGGCAATAGTGTCAGAAGGTAATTTTTCACATTTTATTTTTTTGTGTAGGTAAGCAGTAGGTATAGCTATTTTTATTCAAAATAAGTGCCCGCTTTAAATTTCATAGTATGAGTACTTGAGCAACCCGAGTTTCTGACGCATCACATACTCGCTAATAGAAAAAATCTAATAAGCACGTTTGTATGTAAGCTTCGATCAACAATAGCTGGTATTGTTGATCGAAGTATGTAAGAAAGAATTACCTATAGTTATTCGCAAAATGATGACCAAGAACAGAGCAATGTATATGATGGTTAATGTGCTGTGACCACTAATCTATCGGTTAAGCGTTGTTATTACATTAAATCCTGTTTCAAATAGTAGAAACCCAAATGCAGCAATAGACTGTTTATTTAAAAAAAGTCAGTGAAAGTGGCTTCTGTTTTGCAGTACATGGACACGTACACCAACTTTAAATAAAAAATGCTAAAAATTCATTGTCTCCTAGGTCTTAAATAGATCTAAGATACCAGCCTCCAGACTGAAACCTTGGTGGTAGAATTAGTTAAGAGGATGGTACCTGCCTAGACGGACTTCTAGACAAGAAAGAAGTCCTGCCAAAAAAAAACAAAGATTCCACTACGCATCTTAATTTTTGTTGAACTAATAAGACAAGTTGGGACTATCACTAGTCTGGTTATTTTTCCTAATAAAAACATTTTTATTTACAGCATTTTCCTGAACCTCCTGCGGTACTAACTAAAGATGAAGTTAGTCAGCCATCGAAATGTGAATCTGCCACATTCGCTTGCTGCAAATATTCACAATCCATGGATCAAGAGAAGTGCTTTTTAATGCACAACTGTAGCCAAACCAATGCTACGAAGCTTGCTTGTAAAAAAGAGGTGCTAGACACAATTGTACAGAAATTGATAGAAACATATGCACCTATAGAGGAGACATAACTGCATCAGAAGGATTTTGGACAAAAAATCTTTGAAAAGTTACTAAAAATGAGTTTTCGACTTGAAAAGCTAATCGTTGTATATTAACAGGTGATTTGGTATAAACATGGTCAAACATATTAAATTAACGATGTTAAAAATTATTTAGCTAAGATCCGAGTGACAAAATGAAATAATGTGTCTTTTCTAGTTTTTGTGTTAGTCACCACAGAGTCTACTCATTTTTAACATCATTAATATAATGGATTTTCACAAAGTAGCACTTGATTATATTAAATAAAATATGTTAAACACAATGTCCCGTATATGCACAAATACCATAACAAATTGGATTATTTCCGAATGTTAAAATGAAATAAACAAATGATTAAAGTAGTAAATTATTAAACCTAGAATTATAACTCGTCTCGCTTGATAGTGTAGACAAAAAACCAAAACTCGTTACATCATGTTTCCGATCCGTGATCCGTAGAGATTTCCATCTATCCTGGATTACGAATCAAAATGCAGATGCGTTGCCACCCCTGAGGACTACGATGGAACGCTTCGATTCCACTGAAAAGAGTCTCTAGTTCTCTTCACTAACCTTACGAAACACAGCAGCGTTAAGCTTCTATCACACGTTGGTATTCTGTGAGAGCATGGTCCTTTCCCGTTCGAGCCGACCGACCCATTCGTACTACAACAATAATATAATTACAGCTGGCTCTACCACATACTAAAGCATGTTCTTACTTCATAAAAAAACGCTTTCAATGTTTGCTGCTGGTTTCGAAAATACGTGCGTGGCACCCTCGTACCGGTAGGCGTAGTGTAGGGCGACCCCCCACTAGATGAAGTGACAATCTGGTAAGACATACAGGAAGTCGATGGATGCAGGTGACTCAGGACCGTGCTTTGTGGCATTACTTGGGGGTGGCCTATGTTTAGCAGTAGACTTGTGAAAGGTTGTAATGATGATGAATGATGAATAATGGTTTATGGCATTTATTACATTTGAAAAGCAGTGAGGAAATGATAACGTGTCATCGACTTTAAGATTGATTAAGTTTTAAAGATAAAATTCTAAGGAAGAATTGTATTTTTATTGATTATCAATCCCAAAGTACTAAAATAATTGATTTTAAATAAATAATTGTTATTACTGACATATTCAATTAAATTTAATTATAGATAATATTTCTAGAGAGGATGTCGTGTTAGCAATACGTAATTTAATAATAGAAGCTTACGTACCTATATGGAAATATTTTAACGTACAAAGTAATTAGCGGCATGTTATGATTAATCAAGTATCTATTAAAATAGATATTATGTACAAGTGATTGTTTTTATCGCGATGTTATTTCTTTGCCTTGGTGGATTTAAGATCTTGTCAACAATTCACAAATATTCGGAAGCTTTTAACAAGAAGCTCATACGTTATATCCTACCCGTAGACTTGGATAGAATTTCTTATATAAAGTGACGTGACAAATGAACTTACTATCTACCTGATATGAAGTAAGCTTAAGGTGAATCCCTGACCAAAATGTTGCGAAAGTGCGTTTTTCAGACTCTATTATCTCATTAGTTATGAAAAATAAACTACATCTAAAAGTACATTATTAATGTTCGATATCTTATCGTCACATTCCACGTTCTAATTTATTTTTATGTGCTATAAATACATTTAAAATCAACTTTTAAAAAATGACTAAAATTCTTGATTACATGCATCTGTTGCTAAACGCAACCCTAATCATTTGAGGATAACACTAATGGATAGATAATTAAAAAATCTATATTCTCCACGTTTTATTTAAATTTTTAAGTTCGTTTTTTCTCTTTTAATTGAAATAATTCCGAAAATTGTGTGACTTCTATGGGGCATAAAGGGGCGTGCGCAGAGTGAGGGCGGCATTACGCTGTATGCGTTAGTAGCAGGTGGCCGCGTCGCTGGTCGCCGCGTTCCGTATTTCGCCGCAGACATAATATTATTTGAGTACCTACCAACCGATGCGCTTACGTCACGGTATATTGTAACTCGGCCGTATCTTAGAAATAAATATTACAGCCGTGCGGTACGTAAACATGCGATAGGGCTGCCTGCCTCCAGTATTTTTACATTTGCCCATTGATTTATGTGTTTTATAACTCAATGCATTTTCCTACTTTGTGTTTCCATTTAGTTTTATGATTATACTTAAATATACTTTTTTATATAAACAAATATAATAGGTACTTTGTGAATTGAATAGGAAGTGTTCAATAAAAATGCGTGTCGTTTTATGATTGGTAGATTTAATTAAAAAACCATGTTTATGTTTAAATAACAAATCGGTCTTATAAATTTGCGGCCGAAAAATATTTGCGCCTCGGCTGAGACGTACGAAATGCTTTATTATTAAAATTTTAAATATAAAAAATCCGCATTATAATATAAAGCTTAATTAAAAATTGTTTTGGGAAACATGGACAAGTAGGAGTAAAGGAATATCTTTTACTCGGTTATAGATACCTGCAGCTACTTTACAATTTATATGTTTGGTTTTAAATGAAGTTTGGATTTATTATTTTTTTATTTCTATTCTATTTTCTGAAAGGGTCCTAGGAAAGGAATTATCCACCGCGCTGCCCCACTGCGTGTTGGCGAACTTTGCATGTCTTCGAAATATTATTTTTCTTATTTCTCAGACGTGCAGGTTTCCTCACAATGTTTTCCTTCACCACTGAGCACGTGGTAAATCAACACTTAAAATAGCAATTACAATATTATTGGTGCCGGCGGGGATCGAACCCGGTTTGCTCGCACACTGTGAAAATTTTAGCAAGCGCTAACCATCTGAGCTACCACGGCTCCTGTCCTCTCGAGCTAGAGACTTTATTTTATTTATCGTCAGGCCTGTTGGTCTAGTGGTTAGTGACCCTGACTGCTATGCCGCAGGTCGTGGGTTCGATTCCCACCCAGGACAAATGTTTGTGTGGTGAGCACGATCATTTGTTCTGTGTCTGGGTGTAATTTATCTATAATATTTATGTATTTAAAAATATATAAGTATTTTATCAGTTGTCTAGTACCCATAATACAAGCTCTGCTTAGCTTGGGACTAGATGGCGTTGTGTGATATTTGTGGAATATTATTATTATTATATTATTATTGTTGGGGTATCTGTATAGTTTTCTCATCTGGTTGGTTTTTATAAATATAAATTAAAATGAAAAGATAAATATACATAAATATCAATAAAATAAAATAAATACAAAAAATATACAAATAAATAAAGATCCAACCATATTAAATAAAAAATAGTCTCCTATCTTTCTCTCTATGTTTTGATCTCCTAAAACAGTTTGAGTTGGTAAAATCAAGGCAAACTTAGGGTAGGGTTGTCAATTATTATTTTGATAATAAAACTAGTGAAATTCCGCGGTTTTATGTGCGCAAGCGTGAACGTAGTTAGAACATAATATAACCTTTATATTTTACATAAATATCCTAAAAAACTTATTATTTTAATATTTTACTAAGTACGTATAAAATTAACAAGTTCATTGCATTTTTATTTGAGTAATTTTTTATGCAATTTCTTTATCTACATCTATTTTTAGGAACCTTTATTTAGTCTGAATCATACATAACTCTATATTACTGATTTACTTACTTATACGTAGTTTTTTTTTGCAGTTACAAATATCTTGTGAGGTTGAAAAAGGCAGTAATGAAAAAATAATAAGAATAATAATAATTGACGTCAGCCACTTCTTTTCATAAAAATTTCAAAGATCATGGTCCATTAGGTTGCAGCTTCACCGAACCACAACTTATAATAATAATAATAACAATAATAATATAATATTATTTTGTATTTATTTTATGTATATTTATCTTTTCATTTTAATTTATAATTTTCATATATTTAAATATTTATATAACCGAACCAGATGAGAAAATTATACTGCTCCAACAATTTTAGCGACGAACGCTTGGATTTATTTTTAGAAAATGTCCTTTTGTTCATGTTTTCAGGCAATAAAAAAACTGCTACAATATAAGAAGGTAAATTTCGACAAATCATTAACGGTCGTTATAGCTCAGGTGGTATGTCGGTCGGGCGTGATATCGGAGTTCCGTGGTTCGGGTCTTGGCTTTGGTCCCGTTTTTTTCCTTTTTTTTCAAGTTCCCTTCTTTTGTGAGAAAATCTATTATTTCAAACCCTTTTTTTTAGTAATTTTTAAAAATACGAAAATTTTAATTTTAAAAATTTAAAAAATATATCTATTTAGTTACTAATGCTATATTTATTATTTTAATAATTACCTACCCAGTAGGTAAATATTAAAATAATAAATGTAGCATTATAAAAAGTAAATCTCCCTCAAACTCAATTTACTAATATTGTTCCTAAATAAGGAATAGCAGATAAAAGATTAGTAGGTAATAACTATTGCTCTTCAAAATTATATTTGACCTCAAGGTAAAACATATCCTAAAATTCAGTAGCTAAATAAAATAATAATAACTACTATTCAAGTATATTTTCAATACGTAAGTAAATGAAAATAACAAAAATGAAGCACCATTAGCATGTAAAGTTCGAATCCATAATTAATATTTCGACAAATATTATAATTTACACTATAAAAAGCTAATTCAATATTAGCAGTATAGTATATAGTTAAAAATAATCAAATTAGTCATTTTTATTAATTAGATAATATATTAGAATACATAATTCTAATATAATGCAACTAATATACCGAATAAAGAAAATTAAAATACATTTATCATTGTACGCCGTGTCTATTTCCATAGAAGAGTTCATTGACATTGAAAAAATAATACTACGTTCGTAGCAGTAGGTGGCGTCTTTTGGCGATTTCTTACGCGATATATTGTAGCGAGCGTCGACAGACCAAACGCTCAAGGTCGTTCGCTGGAGGTAGCGCCTTAAGGGGAAATATAACCTCAAATGGCTTAGCAAGATCCTCCGTTATGCCGAAAGTATTGCAGCATTAA